TGTCTGGAAAATTCGTCTAGTGGCATACAGTCATTAACACTTCAATAATTTATCTGATTTAGATGACCACTCGTTGTGAGTATTCGCTGTTAAAACGAGCAACACGGGGTGTTGATCACTATCCTCGATCAAGGGATATATATATATATATATAATTTGATTGGCCAGTTGTTTCCGATCCCACTCATTCTATAGTAGATGTGTGAATACATACAACCAGCATACTCCATCCTTCCTATCTGGCAGTTTTCATAGCATTCGCTCTGTGTATGCGTTTCACGGTTCACCAGTCATGTGTTGCACAGTTTGAAATTCCTCATAGCTTCACAGTTTGAAGCTCAGTCGATATCAGCCCAGGTGTTCTGCGGGCACGCACGCACAATCGCACTTACCATAGGGTTTTTGATTGTCTATGGCTCTATGGTTGGTGCCGCCCTAGATGACCTTCACCCGACTGTGAATCACGTGCTCAAAGTACTCATATTTCTGTCGCCAATTGTCACCATCACTACCGGTTTGGTCACTTTGGCACTTTTATCTAACTAAAGGAAAGATATCTCACGTGTCTCTGGGTGCTGCTGCTGCCAACGCGATCACCCGTGTGTGTTGATTCGCCGGGGCCATTCTAAGTGATTTGGCGAGAGCGTATGCATCGTATATCGTCTTACCGACACGGAGGAGGCGCATGAGGAGAAGATCGTGGCATGTTCACGAATCTACCGAATCAGTTGTGCGGTTGTGCGCGGATTTTGTGATCGTTTATTTTGTTTTTTTACTCGTCTCGAATTTTCGCCAGAAACTCAATGGGCTTGCGCCGAGTAGATTTACGGTGCAAAGCTATTTACGCTAGTCCACGACTCCCAGTGCGAATTCTCACGAAGGATACCCGTCGTCGACTTAAAAGGAATCGAACTTCGTTTCGCAGTGTGAGTCTTCATCTGTTTTTTTTTTTGATCCTGAAAACCGCATAATCTTCGTGTATCTAACATCATTATGGTGGTCTCGCCCGAACGTATTATCGATTGATCATTAAAGTTTTCCAGTTACTTGTGTCGGTCCAATTGTGGAACAGAAGAAAGCTTGCTTTAAATTTTCACATCCGGCAACAGGGATAACACGAGAGCACTAAATGGCTGCTGCTGCTGTGTTACGGGTTCTTCTGTTGATAAAATCATACACATTGTGCCTCCCCGTCAGCGAGAAACCACATTACCAACACATGTCACTGCCGTCGGCCATGGATTCAGCACACAAGACAGATCAGCGTACGGTTACCCGCATCAATAATTGTACTGGGTAGAGCTACCATTTTCGATCTTGAATCACACCAACGTGCAACGATGGTGCAATGTGATACTTCACCCAACTTGCAATATATGCAAATGGTGCCATTTGCTCCAACTATCCACATCGTGATCGATGCTTTCCCGAAGTGAAAAATTCTGTGCACCAAAATAAACGAATTTTCTTATGGTTTACTAAATTACCCCAGTCAGTCAGTTGACCATGTACAGTTAACTTCTGCAGCCACGAGGACTTGACTGACAGTGGCCCACGCTCAGATAACTCGGTCCCAGTTTTAGGTGGAAGTTTCGAGGTGGTTTCCAT